AATTTGAAATAATTATTATTACATTATATTAATTTGAAATAATTATTGTTATATAATTGCTATTTAAGTATTATGCAAAATGTGTTTAATTAACATTATGTTGTTTGATTCATTCTATTGTTAATATATAATATATTAATATTTGACTTACTTTTAAATCGTAAGATGACATTATTGGTCTCATCATTGATTGATTGTACATGTTCATATAAAATTTCGTGGGAATTATTTATCCAGTCATTAACAAACAGATCTGTATTAATCAATATTAGCATTATTACAATAAAATTTAAAGAATCATCGAAATAATTTTCAACTTAAAAGGAATATTCTTCTTTCAAACTTATATAAGTGATATTATTGTAATTATGTAATACTGTATTACTATAATTAATACTAATTTCCTTTAAAAATAAATATCAAATATTTTTTAATAATTTTATTTTATTTTATTATATTTATATTATTTTTTAATAATTAATTTTTTACGATATAAGAGGAACATATTTATAAAATTTATAAAACTATTGGTACGTGCACACACAACACAGAGAAATATATTGAGTCAGTTAAAAGGATCAATTCATTTTTGTCTTTGACTTAAACTGATTTTTTATGATATTTAAATTAGTCTCCTGCAATAGTATATGATTATTACTCGTATATTGGGATCATAAACAACAACGATTTGTATCTATTTAAATAGATCGTTCCTCTTGTATCGTAAAAAAATTAATTATAAAAAATATTTGATATTTATTTTTAGAGGAAATTAGTATTAATTATAATAGTATAGTATTACTAATTACAATAATTTACTTATATAAGTTTGAAAGAATAATATTCCTCTTAAGTAATATCCACTGAATGTAGTAAAATTAAGCGATAAATTTTAGTAAAATTTGGCTTGAAAATCAAACAGGGCTTTCTGTATATATGTATAGGGTGTCTAGGATCTTTTGAAAACAAAAAATTGTGAAGATTAATCAGATTAATCAGATTAAACTGAGGAGAAATATATATATTAAAGTATATTATATACAAAAAATATCTATCATTATTATCTATTAGTTTCGGTTACTGTTTAGTTAGTTATTTAATTCTTGTCTATGATTCAGTAAATTTTTGTAAATCATGTAACATATACTGTACTACAGTATTATCTTATTTAATTATTTTCACATTTATACATATATATATATATATATGTCTTATGTAAAAGTATTATTAAATTATATATGATGTATAAATGTGGAAATAATTAAATAAGATAATACTGTATATGTTACACGATTTACAAAAATTTACTGAATCATAGACAAGAATTAAATAATTAACTAAAAAGTAACCGAAATTAATAGATAACAATAGATATTTTTAATATATAATATACTATTTTATTATTAGTAAAAAAATATAGATAAAAATTCGATAAACTTTAGTAACTGTCTAATTATTTTAGTTTATGTTCTATAAATATATAACACAAACTGTCTAATATAAAAATAATTTCAAAAATATTACCAGCACATTTTGAATTCAAAGCTGCATCCATTTTTTAATTTATAATACAGGATCAAATGAGATGATGAATCAATTGTTTGAATTGCTTTTGAGGTTGATTTTGGGCCACAAACTCAAAAATTCGTGTGCATGTCCTCTTGGTAAAACTACTACATATATGCACTGAAACAAAAAAATGAATAAAAAGAATTAGGTGTCAGAGTTGCATAATTTTATTGTACAAATTATAATAGAGAAAAACTTAATAAAAATTGATAGAGGTAGATCAATATAAAAGAAATTGGTAATTATACAGAATACCCCCTCAACTCCGATATCGATGAAAAAGATTTAATCGACGCGTTTTTGCAAGAGAAACAACTTTTCTATTTGAAAAAATCGTCACTCTGCCTTGTGGAGCGAGATATAAATTGTTAAATTTGACAATAATTTAGGTTAGGAAATCTGTCACGGAGGCGATAGATAAGCAAGATTCCGGATGGGTTTGCAACTTTCCAGTTTTCCACGCGCAACGAAACGGGGCGGGTGAGGAAGAGGGGCCGAAGGCCCCTTTGCACCCCCCGCCGTGTGTGTGTGTGTGTGTGTATGTACATGTTTGACACATTTTTATTTAACATATGAATTTGTAGCTCATGTATCAGTGGTTATTAAAAAAAAAAAATAACCACTAATACATGAGCTAAAAATTTATGTGTTTAATAAATGAAAATGCTGAAACATATGTGTATACACACACACACGGGGGGGTGCAAGGGGGGCCTTCGGCCCCCTTCCTCATCCGCCCCGTCTCGTTGCGCGTGGAAAACTGGAAAGTTGCAAACCCATTCGGAATCTTGCTCATCTGTCGCCTCCCTGACAGTTTCCTAACCTAAATTGTTATCAAATTTAACAATTTATATCTCGCTCTACAGGGCAGAGCGACGATTTTTTCAAATAGAAAAGTTGTTTCTCTTGCAAAAACGCGTAATCGATTAAATATTTTTTCGTCGATATCGGAGTTGAGGGAGGTATTCTGTATAATTAACAAGAAATTGAAATATAAAATTTAGTCACATAGCAGATTACAAAACTGAAAAGCAATTGTATACTGAATGTCAAAAGTAAATCATACTAATGTTCATACACGTATAAAATACAAAATGTCCCAGAACAATATTCAGAGCTCGTGGAGAGATAGACCGGATTAAGACAAACATAAAAATTTCATACTGTTTTGCGATATTCACAATAATTATCGAATTATTAATTACAGAAATCTGACGAGTAGGTGTGCTCTGACATGAGTGATTGGCAGGAGGTTCAAACTAGAGATGTTTATCGATATTCGAAATTATCGAATATTCGATATTATTTTTATTTCGATATACAAATTTCGAATAAAAAATATGAATAAAAAATCGGATAAATATATTTTTTCAGCGAATATTTATTGAATATTTTTTTAAAAGTAATTTTTTTAATATAAAGCTAAAGTCAGTAGCACACGGTGCTTGTTTTCATACTAGTTTTAGTGACATATTAGAAATGTTACATTCTGATTGGTTGCGTTCAGCAGAACAAAGTGATCAGTGAGCACTTAGTGATTCTCGCTCCTGATTGGTAAATACTTCTGGCTCTATGAAGAACCTAAAAGAATGCTCCAGTCACAGACAATAATCACTAAGCGCTCACTGATCATTTTGTTCTGCTGAACGCAGCCAATATTACATATAACGTGCATGTTAGTAGTAATTTCCTACTCAACAATAACAGTTATATTGTTGAGTAGAAAATTACAACTAACATGTACGTTACATGTAATATTAGGCCTGTTCGTTTTGTCTGCACTGTTAAACTGGTGCAACAAGTTGAAGTGAGAAAACCTACGTTTGTCTCACTTTAACTTAATGCATCAGTTCATCAATGCAGACAAAACGAACAGGCTTATTGTGTTTGCTGGGTTCTTATTGACTACCGAATTATTTGATATTTATTCGATATTTTGACTGCTTATTCGACATCGATATTAGTACTTTTAAATTTGGCGAATATATTCAAATGCGATATTTTTTTTCGATATCGACATCTCTAGTTCAAACTCACCTCTTGTGAGAAGAGGAACGCAGGGGGTACAAACTCCCCTCTTAGAAACCAAGCGACGGGTTTTTGAAGCACCACCATGATACGTACCGGAACTAGTGGAACTAAAATGGGTCACGTGATACAGAGTGGGGATACGCGCTATATTGGCCGTTTTCAGTAGAACAAAGTGATCAGAGAGCGCTTAGTGATTATTGTCTGTGATTGAAGCATTCGTTTAGATTCTTCATAGACCCAGAAGTATTTACTAATCAGGAGCGAGATTCAGTGGAAAATCTAGCAATGTTGTCCAACTGTTGAGTCTGCTGAATGCAGCCAATGGCTGATTGGTAAATACTTCTGGGTCTATGAAGAATCTAAACGAATGCTCCAATCACAGACGATGGCTGCGTTCAGAAAACACAACGGTTACACAACGGGTTGAGTAATTCGTCAACGTTATTAGTCTGAATGTAAGGATCTAACAGTAAGGACCAATAGTTACTAAGCGCTCAGTGAGCACTTTATTTCTGAACGCAATCAATAATCACTAAGCGCTCTCTGATCACTTTGTTCTATTGAACGCGGCCATTGAAATCCAGTGCACTCGTGAACTAAAAGGTATGTACACCGATTTTTTATTGACTTCGGAACGCGCTCTAACTTGAGGAGAAAAACAACCACTGCTTCATACGTCAGCGCTGTCACTTATTACGAAAGCAGAAGGATGGCATATACGAGTGTTAATAAGTAGTGATTGTGGCGTAGACACAAATGTCTTGGAGACTTTGAGTTATAATTGAAGAAATGAAGAAAACAAATAGTGATTGTGAAGAAAAATGGCAAAAGGCTTCATAAAATTTGTAAAACAGCATATTAAAGGAGAGTATTAAAGGAGAGATTAATTGTCTAATAATATTTTAAGTGAAAAATATTTTTAAATTTGAATGTAAGTTAAAAAAGTTATAAACCATAATTTCATTAATGTTTATAATTTTATAGCTATAAATTTGCCATCGACGTTAAATGAATATGTATGTAATGCTATCATTTACATAGGTGGAAAATTATGTTATTGCGCTCATAAAAAATAAGCAGCAGACCAAGTCGAATGATATTTTTTTAATAAGATACTCATATCACTCAACTTGGTCTGCTGCCCACACAGCACATGATATTATTCGTATATACTGCTTTCAATACTAAAATATACTATAGATATATCTAATATACTGAGAATGTCCCTATAATATTTTTCGTAGTATATTATTTTTCGTATATTTTTAGAATAATACGTAATTCATCAATAATATTCAGTTTATTTATCGAATATTCTAGAAATATTCGAATATTATCAACAATATTTTAATCATTAATCGACATATCCCTTCTACAATAAGCAATTAGTCATAAGCCGTAAGCAAATTGACCAACCACAGTCGATTATTTAAAAAATAATCAAATGTGATTGGTCAATTTGCTTACGACTTTTGACTAATTGCTTTATATTGTAGAAGGTCTCTAAAGGTCATTTTACAGTACATATCGTAAGTCGTAAGCCGTAAGAACTAACTAATTATAGCCGATTATTTTTGTAATAATCGACTGTGATTCGCCAATTTTTACGACTTACAACTTACGACACGTATTGTAGAATGACCTTAACAACACAGGTATCCAAGAAACGTTCAGAGTACGTCCTGAAGATGACCTCGAGATGTTTCTTCATCTTCAGGACGTCCCTGGGATGTTCTTAGGAGATCTCGTGCTGTCTGGAGCCACCCAATCAGAATCGGGCCTCCGCCCGATTCTGATTGGATGGCTTTTAATGCTTCTCTACTCCACTCTCCGCTTTCCGTGTCCATCTGAACGCACGTAGTCACGTCGTATACGAAGATCTTAATATAAGGTAATAATTATATAATTATTTTATTTATAAAATAACATTAACTATTATGCATTAATAAATTTGTACCTCAATAGATATTTTGTTAGATAGGCCAATTCGTTGTATAAAATTTTATATTTTTTCAACCTGTCTTTCAGGGTTATGTGGCACAAAAAATAATTAACTTCAGGTTGTTACACTATTTTTCCTATTTTCTTGATAGTTATAAGTTATTCAGACTTTTTTTTTTTCTTGATAACGCAGGGGAAACCCGTCATGGGTACCCTCCACCCCCTGGGAGGGACGGAGGGTTATGTGAGATTCTTACTCACTAAAACCCCTGCGGGGTGTCTACCAGTCGGACCGAGATGAGGGGAGTCAGGGGAACTACGCCAGTATTCCCTCCCCGACATCCCGGCCCCAGGGCTCGTTGTCGAGCCCCACGCTCAGATGCCGCGTCCCCCTTCCCCTTGAGGGGAAGGTTCGGAGCGCGGCGCCCCAGTCGGCAGAGCCGACCGGGTTGGCCTTCCGGTGATTTTTCGGGAGGGGGGACACCCACCCCACCTCCCCCGCCCCCACCCCCTGGAGTTTCCACTCTGGAGGGGAGCGGGGGAGCGAGGCTCTTTCCCAGAAGGCCTCACTCCCCCCTGTCCCTACCTAACCGACGCGCGAGGGAGTGCGAGAGGAGGTCATTCACCTACCTCTCCGCATCTCTTCCCCGCGCGTCCGAAGTCGACCCCGAGGCGGCCGAGGGGGGCCGCGGAGACCGGACTGCCGGTCTCCGCCGCCTCCTCCCGGCCGGCGCCACCTCGGAGTCGCTATCTCCACCCCCCAGGGAGCGCCGCCTCCGACCCCCTGCACTACGCAGTCCGGGTCAGGTCGGCGCTCCCACTCGGCGGCCTCCTTCTGGGACATTACGTCCTTGCAGAAGGAGGCCGCCGCCCCCCATACCTCCTCGCTCCCGCACATGGCTCGCATCATCCTGCATCCCACTGCCCGGGCCAGGACTCGGCGCTGCTCGCTCCACGCCTCGCACTCGGCGAGGGTGTGCCGCCGTGTCGTTCGACTCCGGGCAGTGGTGGCACTCGGTGGTGTACTCCTTACCTATCCTGTGCAGGTACCTCCCGAAACACCTGTGTCCGGTCACTACCTGCACCAGGTGGAACGAAAGTCCACGTCCCCTCCTGCCCACCATTTCTAGCAGGCAGGGGCGGACAGCCTCGGCCGTCTGGCGACCGAATCCTCGTGGGTCGGCTAATTCAGCCGACCACTTATCGAGGACCCAGTCACTGGCCTGGTTCCTTAGGGCCCTCAGGTCCCTGGCCGATAGGCCCTCCCCCCTTTGGCGGAGCTCCTTTATTCGCCAGTAAAAGAGGCTTCTCTCTTCGGCGAGGAGCTCCACCGGGGGGGAGCCGGTCAGGGAGGCCGCCGCCATGTGGGAGACTGTTCGGTACCCTCGGACCGCCCTTGTGAGTACCGCCCGCGTGGCCTGCCTCAGCAGGGCCTTATTGCTGGCGGTAGCCAATAACCGGGACGCCCATATGGGCGCCCCGTATAGGGCACTGAGTGCACCCCCACGTAAAGGCGGCGTGCCCGCCATCCAGGCCCCCCTGGGTCCGCATCAGGCCGGCCAGCGCCGTGCCTATCTTGCAGACCCGGGGGGCCACGCTCCTGAAATGGGGCCCAAAGTTCCACCGGCTATCCAACGTCAAGCCCAGATATTTCATCGTGGGCTTGACGCAGACGCGGACTCCGTCCACCAGGACCCGGGCTCCTCGCAGCCCCCCCCCCGACCCCGTCTATGGAACAACATGGACTGAGTCTTCTGGGGGGCCACTCTGAGCCCGAGGTCCTTGATAGTGTTCACCACCGAGTGCAGGGCGGCCTCCACCCTGAGGCGAGCTTCCCCCAATCCTCCCCCTCGGCTAGGACCAGAGTGTCGTCTGCTACGCAGACGACATGGCAGCCGGGGAGGAGGGAAGTACGCAGTACCCGGTCGAACGCGATGTTCCAGAGCAGGGGTCCCAATACGGACCCCTGTGGAACATCGTATTCCATTAGGCGCCGGCCTTGGACCCCGCCTCTTCCCGAGTAGGCGAGGTCCCTGTCCCCGAAGTAATCAGCCATTATGCGCCGGAGATAGGCGGGAACACGGTGGTGCTCCAAAGCCCGTCCTATCTCCGGCCAGGGCAGGGTGTTGAAGGCATTCAT